CCGCGACAGCCAGACCTTCGTTATTTTATAAAAGCTGAAAGTTTCTCTGTGTATGTCTCCAACACAGGTAAGAACGACTCGCGATTATAGAGTTTCGATTGTGGTTACTTGGGCAGGTAACAGGCAGTAAAGGTATATAAAATAGTACCTTAAATTCGTTAAAGTATAAAGGTTTTTTTTTTTTTAATATTTACTCCAGAATATCTTTAGAAATCATAATATCCGTTGCCGGACACTTTTTCCAGTTGTTACCCCCTGCCAGACACCCCTAAACTTTCGTTATACTATAAAAGCTAAATTTTATATATGTTACTTAGGGACTTATAAAAATATGTTACCCCAATAGCCGGACAGTTTTAATGGTTCTTACATCTTGCCAGACACATTGAGAGCCCGCTGTAGGTGCGAGCGCGTGGTAGCAACTGTTCAAGCGGGTGTGAGCGAGATAAAGTGCTTAGTCTAATGTGATCTTTTACTGCACATCAGCTGTCCTTTATAGGATTTATCCGTTCTAAGCAGTGATATCGAGGCGCTACTCGGCATGGGAAGCTCTGTCATTCTGGCGAGCGACCTAAATTGTAAACACATCAGGTGGAACTCATACACCACAACCCCTAATGGCAGGCGGCTCGACGCGTTAGTCGATGATCTCGCCTTCGGTATCATCGCTCCGCTAACCCCGACTCACTACCCGCTAAATATCGCGCATCGCCCGGATATACTCGACATAGCGTTATTAAAAAACGTAACTCTGCGCTTACACTCGATCGAAGTAGTTTTAGAGTTAGATTCAGACCACCGCCCCGTCATTATGAAGCTCGGTCGCGCTCCCGATTCCGTTCCCGTCACGAGGACTGTGGTGGANGGGAAAGATGGCGTGATAAGGGTAGTGGACGTTGCAACAGCAGGGGGAATGCTACGCCGACCCGTACGAAAGCTGGTTAGGCTCTCCACCTAAGGCCTTGACTGACCTTGGTTTGCATAACCAGTTTGTGCTTTTCTGCACGAGGGGGAGGATGTTGTGAACCTCTTTGCTATTTTGATAACTAATGTAGTTTTTTTATATACTACACTTTTGACGTTTGTCTTCATATTACCCATTTCTTTCTGTTTTTCTTAATTTTGTGTTTTTATTAAAAAATAATCATTCTCAACTTGTTTCATCGTTTATCATTTTACAGAGATTTTGTTGAGTTTGTTCATTTCACTACTTGTACCGCATAATTTTGCGTTTTTTATTGCCATTATAATTGCTATTATTTCAGCACAATATTCTAACGTCGACGAGTAACTTGTTGATTTTGTCGTCTACTTATCAGCTAGTAGTGTTGAGGGGTTATTCTGGCTTCACTTTTACTGATGGCCTTTATTTCTTTGTTTATTCAGGCAGGCGGGCGAACCTCCTACGAGATATCTGCCTAGGGGATTTGACGATCTGCTGATGTTAACTGGTGGGCGAGGTGACTGACAAGATCCGGCGAGAAACTCAGTGGGCTGTGTATCTTAGTTGTCCGTGACCACAAATACTGTAAGCTTGAAGTCGTCGTGGCCTAAAGGATAAGACGATAAAGAAACGTTTATTTTAACTACATTGGAAATATAACGGGGTATCGTAAAGTAAATTCATTTTCTTTTGAACAAGAGCTTGTCACTGGAAAAAAGATGAGTATTATGACATCTAGCGGGCTATACAGGAACTAAGTTAATATTAAGCTATTCAGGTATTTCCTTGCTAAACAATAAAACAGTATGAAGCGTAGTTAGTTATTGACTGTAACGCTAGATGTCACTAAAATGAAAAACTAAGGTGTTGAAAAAGCCGAATCTCTGAGGTCGGTCAAATTTCTAGGAAGTTCTTCTTCTAGGAAGAAGTCTGTTAATTCTTGTTTTTATATTTTTCTTAAAAATTATTGTTTTATTGTCTTTTATTTTCATTTTCTCTTTTTTCTTGAATTTAATTTGTAAATAACATTAATCACCAATACTTTTTCCTTCCTTAGGAGTCCTTATAAATCTTCTAATACGATTTTTACATTAATTTTATCTTTGTTTTTGTTTTTTATTAATGGACTAAAAGGACCGATGAGTCCACTATGTAAAATAAATAGATAATTAATAAGCTAACTTGTATTTACAATGAATGTCCTTACTAGCAATACTATTAGCTTAATTTAAGTACCTACGTAATACCTATTTTTTTATAGATTAGTATACCTATTTAGATCATAATAAACATATGTTATCCGAACATAGCTGTATGATTACTTGTCCTGACTGATTGAACGATTCATTAACACAAAGCCAAAATCTCTGGGACTACAAGCTTGAAATGTTACAACTTGATATCTAATAGCATGCAAGCATTCACCAAGAAAGTTTTTCTGGAAATTAAATTAATTCATTTTTACTATTATTTTTACTTTTTTTTAAGATAGAGGGTTTACTGGTGGTCCGGAGGCCTTTCCAGTTTCACAAGAACAGGTGAGCGAGCAAAGGCTCAGCCAGAAAGGGCGGGATTTGCTAACAGCTACCCGAGCGCCTCCAAGGGAGACCTAACAACTCAAGAGTAGCTGCTTCGCGAATGAATCTACTACCGGATCGGAATCGCGACCTGCTGAGAAGATCCGGCGAGAAACTCAGCGGGCTGATGTTCAGGTTAGGTTGCACGTCGAGCTTTTTGCCGAGTTCGACGAGTACGGTTAAATTTTTACTCTTTCGTGTTTCAAGCTTCGTTTACGTTTATATATAAATTTTTGTGAGATAAAAATGATTCAAGTTATCACTTATGTAACCTCGACTTAGAAGAAAAACGATTGTTGATCACGTGCCAGAGAGAACTTAATGAAAGCGATATCACAAGGATGGTGCCTATTTGTCGGAGAAAAACGGATTCGTACAACCAGTATTGGTACGTTTACGTACTGCTGGCACTGACTGCTGCTAGATCGTTTTAAGAGTTCGTAATTCGAGTAGGTACCATCAGCCTGCCCATTTCTGCCGTGAATCAGTAATGCGTTTCGGTTTAACTTGTAAAAACTGAAAGACAATATGTGTAAGAGGGGAGTGAGCGAAGAAATGGTATACGATAGAGAAGTATGGAAGGAGAAAATACGTCGCGCCGACCCCAGGTGACTGGGAGAGGGCAGAAGAATGATAATGACCTGTATTGTAAAAACTGAAACTTAAAACTTATGTCTCAAGGAGGAATTTAGGTTACTGATGTCTATGGGCTATGGTAACCACTTAAAACCAGTTGGGCCGTGAGCTAGTCTACCTATCATTTAGGCAATAAAATAAAATACAAAAAACACAAAAATTGTTTTTGATATGCGCCCAGCCTTGTTGTTTGTACTACGAATTACTGTTGTAGGTAATTATTCATTTTCTTAGTATGGAATTACGGTATCCAGCATAAAACGTCATTCAACGGTTGGCAGAATAAAATTAAATAGTTTGTTCTTTATGTTCAAGAACTCTTTATTCCGAAACTATTTGCTGTGTGCTTAGTGGGAGTTTTTTAACGTTCTCGATAGCGTTAAAGTTAACTCAAATTTTTATGCAGTTGGAACATTTACCTACGTTTGCCGCTAGGGGCGCTGTTCCAACTGCATACAAATTTGAGTTAACTTTTACGCTATCGAGAACGTTAAAAAAAACTCGCTTCGATTCGTTTATTCGTGTAGAACACTACAGTTTTCGGCTTGACATACCTACCCTTTGTAGAACACTAACATAATCGAAACTAATTTTACTGTTTCATCTCGTCCGTAATAATATATGTATTAATTTTCTTATATCCATCGTTTCAAATATATTAGTTTCTGGGGCCACAATCCACTAGGGTTTTTATTATTTGTCATGAAATATGTGAAGAGTTGAAAATTAAGTTTAGCTGTTAAGAGAAGAGATTAGCCGAATGCCGAGAATATGTTATAGCTGAATTTAATTTATAATTTTCTTACATCTAATGTTATCATTTTATGTTAAGTTAAATAAGTTAAAATCTTACAGCAATGAAAGTTTATTTATTTATTTATGTGAAAACTGAAAAAAAAAACAAAGACGTATGTGGATACTTATACTCGAACTAAATCCTAAAATATCTCACATTAACTTTTATGGTTCATGGTGTATAAAATCATATTGTTTGCGTATTGATATTACAAGGTGTGGGTTTTTTATATATGTAAGCGCTCATGTGTATTCGTAAATAGATAAGTACATAAGATTTTTTTTTATTACTCACGTGGGTGGACGAGCTCATGGTCCACCTGATGTTAAGTGGTCACCGGAGCCCACAGACATCTACAACTTTAATGCTGCCACCCACTTTGAGATATGAGTTCTAAGGTTTCAGTTCAGGTCTCAGTTTTAGAATACAACCGCTGCTCCACCCTTCCTTACTGCTTCACCGCAAAAATAGGCTGGGCGGTGGTACCTACCCGAGCGGACTTACAAGAGGTCCAACCACCAGTAATTACGCAAATTATAATTTTGCGAGTTTGATTGTTATTACACGATGTTATCCCTTCACCATGGAAGTTAATCGTGAACATTTGTTAAGTACGCATTTCATTAGAAAAATTGGTACCTCCGATCGGGATTCGAACACCGGTGCATCGCAAGATACGAATCCATCGGACGTCTTATCCTTTAGGCCACGACGACTTCGAATGTCCGTAAAACTGGTGTTTATTATTAAACATTTACTTGAAATATATTGCGTAGGTAGGTACGCAGAACAAAACTAACTGTCTATTATTCCGTAATTTGAAAAACATGTAACAGTAGCTCGGCCTACATACGCATGTCAAGTAAGTACTCGAATAGTATAAAAGAAATTAAAAACACCTCTGGCGTGAACTTGAACTTGGATTAAAAAAAAAATTACACTCAGCCGAGATGAACTCAACAGAGAGAAACCGTTATTTTGACCGAGATGCGAACCCAGCCAGCGATCCTCCAGTATCCGACGTAACGCCGCATCGTGCGAACGCAAAATGTTCTTCGAAAGTTTCCTATTGAACTTGTCCGTACTCGTCGTGTTGATAGTCGCCTTGGTATTCGACTACGTCACCAAGTTCTTCAGCTACTGGTACGTTAGGCACGTGTCCTACAAGACGCCGATCCCGTTTTTCGGCAGCGACTACCACAGGGTGTTGGGATTGACCAACAGCACTGATGAAGTTGTCAAACTGTACAACGAACATCCCGGAGACAAATTCGTCGGTCGCCTCAAAAACAGGATCCCGGATCTGATCGTGAAAGATCCGGACGCGATAAAGAGGATGTTATCGACGGATTTTGCGTATTTCCACAGCCGAGGTCTCGGTTTAGACAAATCTCGGGACGTTTGTATACGAAACAATTTGTTTTACGCTGACGGTGAGAAATGGACTCTGCTGCGACAGGGATTGGAGGCAGTTTTGAATGGCTTGTGTCGCGAATTTGACATACATGCATGTTTGTCTGTAGCAAACGGAGACACAAACGTTCAACAGTTATTATCTGTTGTACTGGATAGTGTTTTCGACAATTTACTTCTCGGCGACGAAGGAACATCGATAAAAGAACTGAGGACTACTCTACAGAAACGGTCGATGATCGTGAAACTTAAAAGCTATTTGAAGAATATTTTTCCGTCAATATACGTGACGTTCGGATTATCGACGCTTCCGAATAACGTGTTGAAAAATACACGTAAATATATGGAGAGTTCGAAGCTGCAGAGGCTGATTGATGACTCTGGTTATATGCATCAAGTCAGTTTGAAAGATAAACACGTGTACGCTTCTGAGAACGAATTTGCGAGTTCGACCTTAGCATTGTTTGTCACAGAAGGCTATATTCCTTGTTTGTATACATTGACGGCTTTATTTTACGAATTAGCCGTAAATCCTCAAATACAAGAAAAGGCCAGAAACTCTATCGAAAAGGATAAAGGGGTAAACTATTTGGATGCGATCATCAAAGAGACTATGAGATTACATCCGTCTCATTCGATCATTTCAAGACAATGCGTCAAGATGTATCAATATCCTGAAAGTAACCTAACTATTGATAGAAACGTCACAATTAATGTGCCAGTGGAGGCGATACACAAAGATAAGGAGCATTATGAAAACCCTGAAGTCTTCAATCCGGAGAGGTTTTTGGATGACCAGGGCCCTACAAAACATAGCTACAGCTATTTACCATTCGGCGCTGGTCCGAGAAAATGCATCGGTAAGATTTTTACGTCATTGTTATAATGTAAAACGGCCGTCTGGTGTAGTGGTAAGTGACATGGTCACTACACAAGGGGGTCGCGGGTTCGAATCCCGCCAAGGGAAGATATTTGTATGATAAATGTAAATGTCTTTTCCAGGGTTATGGATGTATATTAAATACATGTATGTGTATAATAAAAATCTTACATTTATATCCGCTATCTGGTACCTGTAACACAAGTTCTTTACGAACTTATCACGGGACCAGTTAACGTGGCGTGATTGTTAGTAACTATTTATTATTTACTAAAAAAAAAAAAGGTTCGCTATGTTACTTACGTCATCTTTTAATTAAATTTTTAATTTTATCTGTTTTCATTGGTAACCAAACAAACTCTAGTACATGTGATAATACAATTAGAATCATAAAAAAGTGCCCTACTGTTTCAGCCTCGTTAAATTTGTAATTCAGAACTTTTATTTTTATTTTTATTAGGTTCACACAACCGGATAAAATTTACACGCCTTAACATTTAAGTTAAATAGAAAAAATGAATAAATTATTGAATTTACCTTTTTAGGTGTGAACACAACTTGCATAAGGTCGGTTGTGAAGTTGTCAGAGGTCGATTTTTATTATTGAAATAATAAATTAATGCAATATCTCGGGATACGCAATTGTGTGTGTCTCATTCCGAACAATAAAATATCAATCGATTTAGATTTTTTTTATTGCCCTTGTAGGCAGACGAGCATACGGCCCACCTGATGGTGAGTGGTTACAGTCGCCCATGGACTTCAGCAATGCCAGGGGCAGAACCAAGCCGCTGCCTACCGCTAAAACCGTTATTAAACGATTCTATACTAAATCTACGTTCAATCATTTTATGTGCCATACCGTTGTGTGAAACGGCATATCTGCCAAGCCACTATACACAATAGAAGTCAAGAGAAAGTTACCAGTGCCCGCCATGTTAATACGCAAATTGGAAGTATTCTTCATATTCGTAGGCTATTGGATTCAGTGCGTGAATGAATTTTAATTAGTAACTAAACTACACGTACTTTGCAGTTTCTTTTACTATCTTATACCTTTAAACGAGCAATTCTTGTATATTAATATATATATAATCTGAATCTCGGAAACGGCTTCAACGATTTTCATAAAAAAAATTATATACATGGGACTTCGGGGGCGATAAATCGATTTAGCTACGTTTTATTTTCAGAAAATGTTGTTTTAATCGTGTTTTCAATAATCCTCTTCCAGACGTCTATTGGCGAATAATAATACTATTTTTAAAGACACAATAACACTCAAGGTATTTCAGCAGATGGCGTTGTTGAGACACCCGAAAAACACAATTTATCAAAAAATAAAAATACCGGTCATGAAGATGTCATAGTCATATGTCATAATATTATGACATTGTATGCACAGACGAACTAAATGATAATAAAAGTATTATCTTCGGCTTCGTAGACATAATTAAAATTACTTATTTATAGTCTTCGTGACTCGGGGTTCGTCTGTGAGCACGAAAACTGTAAAGTTTACGAATATTTTAATGCAATAATTAAAAAGAAACGGCAGATTAAACCGTAAAAAAGTTTGAATACCTAGTCATAGTACGGATTTTTTTAATCTACAGTAAATTAAAAATGTAAATTAGGTTATTTCATGGTGCTTTCAGGAATGTAGGACATATTTATTAGAATGCAATTGAGGTTTTCAACAAATAGATTGACTAACTACCTACTACTACACACCTAAGAGCAAAAAAGATATAGGTAGTCGGTAAGTCGTGAGACTTATCTACATTAATGTATTTTTTTGTTTTGTTTCAGGCGAACAATTGTCTTTGCGAATTATTAAAGGCGTTACTAAAATGATTCTGAACAAATACGAATTACAAACTTGCAGTAAAACACCATCTAAGTTAGCCGTGGTGGATCATGATTTCGGGAGGGTCATCGATAAAGAATTATGGCTGAATTTTAAGCTCAGAGAATTTTAAAATAGCGCCATCTAGTAGTACTCAAACGCAACAGTTAGAACTACATTAATGTAACTGGAAGAACCTGAATTGGTTGTGAATCCATTTATTTGTTTTCATTAGTTTAATATTATTTATTAATTTAATTTACTAATAATTTAAAATGGTGCTCTCGAAAATCCAATCACTGATGAGTATCGGTTTTTAACTTAAGCTAGCGTAAGCTGTGCTCTTTTAATAATAATAAAAATATAATAATAAGTATGCGAGTTTATTCCTCTAAGATTATGCCTACTGGTTACTTTTATATTTATAGGTATTATAAATTCATGATTACATAATAAGATGTTTTACTTAATCACAATCTAGATTTATCGTTTATACTCTACAAATTTTTTTTTTCCTACCTATGCTGATATCCTTGAGAGGCTTTCAGCTACTCCTTTACGTGTAGGTAAGCTCACGGGGCTCAAACCGGAAGTGTTGCTAACACTGGCCCTAGCAAGAACAGTGCTTCGCAGAATCTACCACCGGATCGGAAACGCGACCCACTGAGAAGATCCGGCGAAGACGGTGACCGGTGCTTGAGGTATCTAAAAGCACCGTTAATGGATCGGGAGGATCCGTAATGACGTGTTTAGGGCGACGTCGACTGTTTACCATTCGGTCCACAGGATCGGGTGTGTAATTACCGGCGGCCACGACAAGAGGGTTTTCATGTCGTGTCGCCTTCTCAAAGTGGCTGTAGATGTCGACTGTAGATAGTTACTGACTGAGTCAAGCTCCAGGTCATAATCGAGATCCACGTTCCTTAGGAACCATAGTGCTCCAACGGCTATCCTGCAAAAACGGGATTGAATGACTTGAAGGTGTTTCAAGTGTGTGCGGGCCGCATGAGCGAACACTACGCTTGCATAGGTCATGACGGGGCGTATGCAAGTTTTGTAGAGAGTTACCTTATTACAAAAGGACAATTTGCTTTGCTTGCAAATCATAGGATAGATGGGTCCTAATATGAAGGCGGCACGGTCGTGTACCGTTTTGATGTGGGGTCGGAATGTCATCCCTCTGTCGAGGGTGACGCCTAGATATTTGACCTTCGAGGCCCACGGTATGGTCTGGTCAAAGAGAGTGATGGGGCTAATGCCAGAGGTATTAACGCGCCTATTAGGGAGTGGGCTGCTCGAAGTGGTATTTGGAGGGTGACCCATTTTGAAGAGCACCGCTGTGCTTTTCGTGGGGTTGATGTCAATGCGCCACTTCCGGAAGCACCGTCCCATGGTGGTTACTGCGATCTGGAGTCGCCGATGCAATAGCGACTTCTTCCTACACGAGTAGTCGATAGCCGTGTCATCGGCGAAGAGCCAGATGGGTCTCCGGAGACCGGGGTATATCATTGATATACAAACTAAATAATAACGGGGAGAGCGCGGAACCTTGCGGGACTCCGGCAGTCAGTTGACGGGGACGAGAACGAGTTCCCTCTACTCGATATCGAAACGAACGGTTCGACAATAAGTCTCGTATGATGAGCTCGAGTCTGTCTTGCACTCCTATGTTGTACAGTTTGTAAATCAAATCGTTATGTCAGACTTTGTCGAACGCCTTCGCGATGTCGAAGAAGAGGGCTCCGGTCGGGATTGACTTTACAAGATGTAGGGAGCTCCTTAAATAGTTTATCTTAGAAAATTTAAGTACTCAGTTGATGTTTCGAGAAAAAAAATAAAGCACACATATCTGTATGAAATAGATTTTTCTAAAACGTAATCGCGATGCTATTGCTCTGAACCTGTAAGTTATTACTTAATTGTATTGAGAGTACATTATTAAGTCTGCAGGTGATATTCAGAACTTGTTAAAATCGCACTTAGACACGAAGAACTTAGTAGGTACAGCTTCAGTGTAGCACTAAAGTTTTGTAGTTTCTAAATAATTCAAGTAAACAATGTTAGATCTTATAAAACTTTCAACGTGGCGAATTGGCTGTTTTGTGAGAGAACAACCTAATCAAATATTTTTATGATCGACGCCTTTTACGAGCGGCATGTTTACACAGACGCGTTGTTTGGTACAAGGTGTAAATTTTATATACCTATATTTTTTTTCGTCTATTTTGTTTTCGTGTTTGGTTCATTGCGCTAGGGGACCCATATTGTTACAGCGTGTGAGACCGTGAGCGTCGAGACTGACGACATATTTTTTTTTGTTTTTGTTAGGCCTGCATTTATGTATTATAAGAGACAGAGGGAGAGATAGAATATTGAACTCCAAAACATAATTGAAGACATCAGTGGATGAAGGCGCTACGATACAATTTGTTAATTTTGAGAAAACGGGCAACAAACTTTTATTAGTTGCCTTTTTTTTCCTTCATAACTCCTTCATCACATGAAATTTTCTAAAAATAGCCTTTAAATCCGGAAGCTTAAGGGTTTATTTCATAGGCACATAACACCTTTATTCAATGGAAAAACTCAATAATCTTAAATATGGTACTTAGCCCCTTCATTCACTCGTGTCTTCAATTAACATTCAAAAATAGTCAACAGACAGATAATATAATTGTACAATATTTTCATTATCCTCTCATATTCTCATGGTCTTATTGAATAAATCAATCTGTTTCAGACATCAGTAGACATTCTGAAAAAGATACTCTTATTTTTAAATAATAAATACAGTATTTCACGGCTGCCTCAAAAAAATAATAATAATATAAGTATTTTCCATTTAACCGCCAAAATCGTTAATGGCAGTTTATGATACCAAGAAAAACGAACGTACTAAACACGCTTCTGCTCATGCCTTAATACCTTCCCCGAAAGCAGAGCATTATTCAAAGCGATTGCTCATTTGTGTACATTATTTGTAAAAGCAAAATAAACATAAATAATTGAAGGGATACACGATCGAATCTTTGAAGGGATTTTAATTCTGATGACAAATTCCCTTCTCGTGTTTGATGTATTTCGATTGCCGATTCTACATACATATTAACTTTTATATATTAAAGATTTATCCAGGTCGCCGGTTCGCTGAAAATACAGCTATATACTAGGAGTAGGAAGCTCTCATTCCAGCATAATAAACTGCAGATCACGGCTAGCAACTTAGGACAATGTTTTCGGACATCAACCCCCCGAAAATCACACCCGTGCCGTGATGAATTAGGGCGGTAATTCCATTCCTTTTCTCCATTCCTCCAGGTCTTTGACCACCTATACTGAGGACCTCGAAACCTCATTGGCCTTGCCAAGGACATTTTTTTATTGCTGAGATGAGTGGTTCAACTCAAGGCCCACCTGGTGTAAAGTGGTAACCGGCGCCCATAGACGTCTACAACGTAAATGCTGCCATCCACCTTGAGATGTGAATTTTAAGGTATCAGTACAGTACTACAGCTATCTCACCCTTCACACCGAAACGCATTACTGCTTCACGGCAGAAATAAGCAGGATGATAGTACCTACCCGTGCGGACTTACAAGACGTCCTACCACCAGTAATTACGCAAATCATAATTTTGCGGGTTTGATTTTTATTACACGATGTTATTCCTTCACCGTGAAGGTCAATCGTGAACATGTTAAGTACGTATTTCATTAGAAAAATTGGTACTCGCCTGCGGGATTCGAACATCGAAACATACGAATGCACCGGACGTCCTATCCTTTAGACCACGACGATTTCGAACATCACCCTCGACAAAAGGTTGACATTCGGTCCCCACATTAAGTCAGTACGCCATAGATAATAAACATAAACAAGAGTACGCGCTCCTGCACGGCCGACTCTACAAAATTATCTGAAAGCGAAGTATTTTTTCTTTCGTAAGAGTTCGACGAGCAAATTATCCATAAACACAGCCAATTGAGTTTTTCGCCGGATCTTCTCAGTAGATCGCGATTCCGATCCTGTGGTAAATTTTGCGAAGCACTGCTAGGGCTAGGGCTAGTGTTAGCAAATTCTTGCAGGTTGAGCCCGTGAGTTCACTGACCCGTTCGCGTGTAACTGAAATAGCCCTTTAGGCTGCCAACGGATCGGTGGAAGAAGTAGTGATTCTACATGTCTTAATCTTGTGACTGGTATTTTGGATTGGACTGGATTTTATGATTTGTAATTTTTATCCGGACAAATTTTATTCATTCGGGGATCGAATTTCGTGGCTACCGGAGTCACTAGTCCTGCATAAAGGAGCTATGAATGCACACAGAGATGGTCGAAGTCTCAACGAATAGTCATTGCGTTGGAAACCTCCTTTGTCAACTGACGCTGAAATGAGCCAGCAGCTGCATCGTACCGGAAAGGAATCGAGGAAAAATGGGATCTCGAATGAATGTAGAGATTATAATAATATATACGAACAGTTAAAATAACAAAACAAGCTTTTATAAATACGCAAAATTAATAATCCTTGGAAATTTAATATCCAACAAAATCCATCGTTCATTCGTGTTTTGCAATATCGCATATTATAAGCACGAATCGTAATTCCGGTGAATCCTTTGAAAATTTCAAATTAAATTTCAATACAAACAATGTATTCGCAAAAAAACAAGGGCGCACGCCGGCGTGAACTGTAAACATATGAGGCTTTGGCGCAGGGTACCTTGTGTACACCCGCCGATATCCAACCGATCGTGCAGGTATCACGTACCTCGTAAATGCAGCAAGAGTGCGTTAGGCACGTTACACACGTAGGTTTGTTAAAAATTTTGACGTGTATTTCGCATTATCATTAATTTCATAAGTTTCACGGGAAAAATATTCTATTGTAGTTTTAATTGAGTTTGGTTTTTTTTAGAAAACTTTAAACAATATTATGTAAATGTGTCGAAGCAATAACAAGCATTTTATGCGATTTTCCTGCTTAAAATCTATATATTAATACGTGAAGCAAAAACTTTGTATCCCTTTTTACGAAAATTGCGCGGACGAAATTTTCCACACTTATAGAGAACATAGAGAAGCAGTGCACAATGCTAATATATTTTTAAAACAATGCATGGAAGATACATTAAATCAATAAAGAAAACATTACACACACTACATACCATGTATTTGACCCACACATGCAAGCATACTATTTATTGTCCAACTTTTGTACTTGACGTCTGTTGTCAAATTGAGAATATTGTTTGTCTTTATTAATATTTTTTATAGTGTAGTCTTGGCGAAATTTGTGATTATAGAAGT